AACCCTTTTCGCATCGTTGACGTCATCAAAGAATTATCACGTGGCCCGAACTTTCGGGGGTCGCCCTGGTGGATTCTATTGAATATGTTAGCTATACCGCTGGGGATTTGATTTTTGATAATCAATTTGGCCAGGAATTTCCCAAACAAGGTTGCTAACTCGTTTAGATGTTTGCGTTTTTATTAATAAAAAATTTTGATATCAGAAATCCCGCAGTTTTAGCCAAGTAAATTATGTAAGATTCAAAACGATAACGATAATTGTTTAGATTTCTTAATAAGAATTGCCAATTCAATACACACGGAAATTGAGCAGCGATAATGAGTGCTATCACAACTACCGTTAGAACTATTTTAACGAGTTCTTATTTACGATCGAAGCTGCGGAGCGAAGCTGAGGACTGAGTTGCTGTTCAATGCACAAAATCTTTGAATTTATATTTTATAAGCATATTAACTTGTCGATAAAAGGGATTAATTAGCTCGTTAACATACTTAGTATTTTTGAGCCATACATATAATTAGATCGTTTCTTTTAACAAAGTTATTATTATTATTATTATTATTATTATTATTATTATTATTTTACTCGAAGTATATTATATTAATTGGTTAATTGGTTAATCACATCAATGTCAAATCAAGGAATAGGTAGCTTCAATACATTATCTATTTAATCAAAAAAAGTCATCAATAGTTTTCAAGTTATATTTGACTTTTAATTTCTAAAGCAGAATCAACTTACCACGATTATGCACATTATACAAAAACTGCGAGATAACATCATTTTCTACGGGTTTTAACATTTGGTAATGTTTGGTGATCTCGCGTACTAATGTTTCTTTCGTGGCTGGCTCAGCAATTTTCAATTTATAAATTCGCCGGTATCGTCGTAACACTGAAATATCAAGCGTATTGAAATCAAACTATGGAAAAAGAACAATCGATAATTAAATAATTAATTTGTATTAAAATAGCATCAAATGAAATCAAAAATATACCGCTGGTATTTCTTTTACGGGTTCCTTTCCCTTTTGAATTCTTTTAGTTGGGTAATGGGAAGTTGAAGGGAATGAACCAGAAATACTCGTTGGAACTGTAGCAACAGCCGATGAAGAAGCACCGGATTCCTTTTCTCTAGTGTATCCTCCTCCGTCGTCGATTGACGGAACAACACTTTGATTTCGGTGGTGTTGAATTGTTCCACTACCACTAATACTACCATTATTATTACTATTACCATTGCCATTGCTATTGTTACTACTACCGTTACTCACACCTGCTGCTGTTTGTCTTGAAGAAGTACCCGAGTTAGATAAATTTGCACCACTGTTACCGCCGCTGCCACCATTGTTATTGTTATTGTTATTGCTTCCTCCAGCACTTCCTCCGCTCCCTATTCGATCACTTCTTTCATTTCTTTCATTATTTCCGCTATTTGTGTTGTTAATGTTATTGCTGTTATTGCCATTTCCACCACCACCACCACTTAAATTAGAGTTACTAGTGTATGTGTTTGAGTTTGAGTTGCTGGAAGAATGTTTGGAGCTTTTGGTATGGGCCATGTGTTAAAATAATATCGATATCGATATATCAAAAAAAACGTTATTTTGAACATTCAACATGTCATTAGTAAATCATGAGATTATCCGAGATCGCGTGAAACTCATTCGTAAATTCAGGCCAAAATTATGGTGCCGTTCAAACATGCGTGTAATGTAAGAGGCCCAGGATCTCTACGGTATTACAATCTTGAATCAAAAATTCTATCTATCTGTCGATCGATTATTATGAGATGATGCTACTACGCGTTTATTCCGTTATAACTTACTAATTTCAGATTCTTCAGGATCATCAGATGTATTGATGATATAGCCATTAATTTTTTCAGCGACCTCTTTTGCCAATTCTTCAACTACCGATTTCCGTTTCTCCCTTGCCAAAAAGCTAACAACCACCCATCGTTTTTCATTTGTCCATTTAGGATAACTACCAACTTTTACTCCTAAATGGGCTACTTTTTTCTGCACCTCTGTTAATACAGGCGCGATAAATGATTCTGGTTGGTATGTACGAACAAATACCCGGATAAATTTTTCTCCTTGTTGGGCGAAATATTTGTCGAATTCGCCCAGCAGGCCTCGAAATAAAGATGGAATTCCGGGTAGGATGTGGACATTGTTGTTCACGATCACAATTGGAACCCATATTGTTTCATTTGGGTAAACGACGAGCGAAGGTGTTGGGAAAAGTGTCATTCGTTTATTTGCTGTAGTGACTTCAGCGCTCAGTTTTTTTTTTAATAAAGGGTGGTTTTTCATGGATCCGATCATTCGATCCATTGTCTGTTTGTGATAGACCAATTCGAGACCAAAGGCATGTGCAATTGAGGGATATGTAATGTCATCGTGCGTGGATCCTAATTATTGTATGATATAAAGTTAGATAAAATTATCAAGAAATTAGAAATACAATTATTTGCTTCATACCTACTCCACCACTAGTTACCACAAAATCATAATTACTACTTAATCGACGCACCGCTTCAATAATCGTCTGAAAAATAAAATAATTTATCAATACATCTATAGAATTAATTTGAAGCATTAGAACCACACACCGAAAGTCAAGAAAAATTAATTAAGTTACATCTTCTTCATCCGGAATAACTTCAATTCTTTTAACGTCAATCCCCAAATCGAAGCAGAATTTAGCTGAATTGAAATCAAAAAAAATTTAATAAGCTTTTTTTTGAATTGTCAATAACCAACAAAATATTCTTACCAAAATATCCTGAATTCGTGTCTACAGTCTTTCCGTTTAATATTTCATCACCGATAACTAAACAAGCAGCGGTTTTAGGAAATGGCCGGTCTTTTAAATCTTCCAACGGTGTGATAGGAAACTTAATCGCTCTATTTGATGCATTGGGTCTACTTGTATCCTCTGCTCCTTCAATTGTAGAAGTTAATTCTGGTTGCAGCTTAGCGATCGATTTTTGATCTTGTATCTCTCGAGACATTTTTATTGTTTGACAATAGCTTGGATGGAAAGTTCGAACACAAGATACTTTGTAATAATTAGGTGTACAATTTAAATTTCGCTAGAAAACCAGAAAAAATTAAGCTTAGGCCTAAAACGTAATAGATAAAGGGGAACTTCAAGCAGCTTACTAGAATTTGATCGTTAAGGAAAACTTTAGGCGAGAATTTCACCAAGCCAGTGACAACTACAGAACGTGAAAATAAATTAAAAGAATAGAACGAGAACATTTATCTTTCGCAAATCGTTAGCGTGATAATTATTTTGGGTAAGAGCGGCGAAAATAAAAATTTACGCGTTTCAATACATCTAATCAAGAAAACCTTAAATTATGACATTATTTTATTTATGACATTAATTTATGATATAAATAATTCTCTGCTAACAAAGCACCTCTACAACACTTTTTTACCTCCTGAAAATCTCGTTAGTGAAATATCTTCATCATTAGATCGAGTGAAAATCTTCCATTTTCCTATTGACGTTTAAGCCCTGCAAAATTTACATTTATATTGCAAAAAGAGAAAGGAAGATGCATGATTATCATCTTCTATTACAACAATTGAGTGGTGGTTTAGAAGATTCAAGGCGTATAATAAATAGTTTACTATTTTTTAATTGACCGAGATACTTTACAGTTTCGAGTCTTCCTTGATGAATGCGACACCTTTATTGATGTTTTCACGAAGTTCTGGAATTGCAGCTTTAAGTAGTGAGTCCTCGAATGCAGTTAAATTTTCTAATGGATGGATTTTGGTAATGCCATTTGTCTGTTGTGTTTTAAGATCATAAATACTTAAGTGTGGATTTGCAACTGCGAGATCAAATAATTCAGCTTGAATTGGAATGAATAATTACCCCTAATTCAATAGTCGACGAAAAATAATCCAAGCCAACTGTGGCCCTGATTTTATCGCCTCCATCTTTATCCGCATCAAGATGGACGTAAGATACTTCAATGAGTCTAGCTTCCCCTTTAACTGAGGCTTTCAAAATTGCATCAGCAAATCGAGCACCAGCCTGAGCCATAGAAAGAGTTGCAGAGCCAGCTCCATCCTTAGCTTTAACTACTTCATCACCACCTTTTAGATTTAAAATAGTTAATCAAATTTTTATGAAATTTTTGAAATACACTCAAAAATATAAATTAGAATAAAGTATTACCATACTGAATTCTATTCGTGAGCGAGTCAATTTGTTCTTTAGAGAACGAATATGACGGGGAGATTTTGGAAAGTAATGGAATAATAGTAATTCCACTATGTCCACCAACAACTGGAACACGAATATCACGTGAATCATGTCCAGATATTTCACCAGTGAAAGTAGAAGCACGAACAAGATCTAATGTCGTCACACCAAATAATTTTTTTGGATCGAATACATTATGTTTCTTGAGAACTTCAGCAACGATTGGTGTAGTAGAGTTGACAGGATTAGATATGATCAGAATAAATGCTTTAGGAGAATATTGGGCGATCCCAGTAGCCAGATCACGTACAATGCCTGCATTGATCTTTTCAATAAAATGCAAGCAATAATAATTTAGATTTTTTCGCTAAATAACAAAATATATGTATATACCTTGAATAAGTCGTCTCTTGTCATGCCAGGCTTTCTTGGAACGCCAGCCGGAATGATGATGATATGTGCACCCGTCAAGGCATTTTTTAAGCCGTCATTAGGCGCATTTTTTTCTTTAGGCGGAAGATAGCCAGTCACCTTAGCTGGGGTGTTAATATGACCCAAATCAGCGGCAACACCAGGACTGTTAACGATATCATATAAAGCCAACTCCGTGACTGTTTCGTTTAACTTCAATAAAAGCGAGAGAGGTTGACCAATTCCACCAGCGGCACCAAGGATTACAGCTTTCACCATTTTAATATTGTATGTTAAAGAGATAAAAAGCAATATAGGAAAAAATGGATGAAACAAAGTAATTTTTTACTGGCTTCCCTTTAAATATTATTTACTAAATGACGCTATCTACAAATTTATTTCAATTGGACAAAATCTCATTAGATGATCTTTTTTGTTTTGATCTTTGGTTCGAGATCTTCGTTTAACAACAATGATAATGTAATGGGAGTACAAAAAAATAAAATTGAGGCTGCTAATCCGAGGGATGCGCTAAAACGTGGTGAACACGTGTAATCCATCCAATAGGGGTGCGCAGATTTTTGTAAATCACCAATAAGAATGCACAAATTTTTGATCAACCCGGAAAAACAAATCCGACACAAGATATGTAAAATGAATATTACAAGAAAACCGAAGCTTAAACCTGTCTTGGAATACTAATTAAAAATGTTAGGAAGGCAATTTTATACATAATCTTGTTATCTAACTCTTGTCATCTAACTCTAATCCTCACCCTGACCTTATAAATCATTAATCGGTTGCACACTGAAAATTTAGAGGGACTGAATCACGCTTTAACGCATCTCTGATCCGGCCAAAATCGAAATCACATGACCCAACACTTTTTCTCGCCATGGTTAGGGTACTCGCTCATGTTTGCATGATATGTATACGAAACCGATTAGATTAAATTTAATCTATCCAAACACAATAAATTGAATATAATATAATTGACCAATAATGATTTAATCAATCCTGCTCACAAGATATATACATATATATGTAGATTGTTACATAATAAACGAACCCAATCCAAAATTTAAAGAGAATCTACATATGCAGAATGCACAGATTATAAACAAGTTTAAAACTGGATTCTTTGTTAATCTTATTTACTTATTTAGTAAATCTTATCGTAATTAAATAGATAATCTCTTAACGTTAAGAATAAAAGGTTTAATCACTAAATTTAGTAAATCATATAGTAATTAAATAAAATAATTTTTTATTCCAAATTTCATTTTGAAAGCTGTTCAATCTCTTTATCACATTAAAGTAAAATATGCAGTTAGAAAATATAATTTTGGCCAGAATTATTTTAATTCCATGATGCTGTTTAATACTATGTTTTATATATATACGCGATTGCTAGAGCTCCTATCGAACCGAACTTTAGGTCAAGTTCGGGTTCAATTCGAAATTCGAACTGAACCTGAACTATGAAGAAGAGTTTGGGTTCAGATTCGAACCGAACTTTTTTAGTTGGTTTCGAAGTTCATGAACATGTTCGGATTCGATATAATTAGAGTTTATGACGTAAAAATAATGTAATTATTTCAAAATAATATTAGCCCTATCTAAATAATCAAGTATTTCTAAATTTCAAATTTATGACGTAATTATTAAATTGTCAGAACATACTAAAATCTGACACATACGTAATTACCCAACTTTCCAATGTACTGCTTATGCGACCTACGTAATAAGATTTCAAATCATGAAGATTCTTCGAATAACCAATATAATCTCTAACCAATTAGAATATATACTAGTGTTCTATATATTAAAAACTATGTCTGAACTTGAACATGTTCATGAATTTTGAACCGGACTCATAATGATGTTCAGGTCCGGGCATTGCAAGTTCGAGTTTGGGTTCAGATTCGAAAAATTGACAAAATCTTTATTCGAATTTGGTTCTGGATTCAACCAAACTTGAATTGAACCGAATCGAATCCAGGAGTCCTAGCGATTGTCATCAATATTACTTGATCATAATAGTATTAAACTAAAATGGAGTCATTATCGTTATATGGAGAAGCAGACCAAATCTCAACTAACATAGCTTTTAACTGTACACAAAATAATCTTTTCTTTAATTGTCAGATGACGATTTGCGTCAGGTAATGCTTCACCTGTTCGTCTTTGGCCAACATTAATCTATTCTATCTTCTCAGCATTATTGGTTTGTGTTTCGAACTGATTATCAGATGGACCAGGCTTTAGACATGCCAATATATTCACAGTCCAGTGTTGGCAAATTTTCATAGGTCATAATAAAATTGAGATCATATGCTCTCAATTTCAAAGCCCGAGAAGTTTAGGGACAGTTCATAATCACGTGGCCTTAAAAATCCACGCGCACGTGATCACGGAAAATTGACGTTAAAGATTATTTTATCGTTTGGATTAGAGTTAGGGTTAGAACTGAGGATAAGGTTATGTAAAATTGCTTTTTCATCCATTTTCCATATTTTTTATTTTCTTGTGTCGAAGACCACGTGATTCAGCACTGTTCCGGACACTAAACGGGAAGTTTACGAACAGTACTTAGATTTAGGGACGTTTTTGATGCTTCTGCGCACTAAAGCAATAAAGTCACGTTTTTTATAATACCCAGAATTTTTTGTCCGGTCAACAGGGGTAAACCAATCAAATCGCAAGATGGAAAATTCAAAACAAACGTTTATTTTTGAAAAATAGCTTTTCTATATTCTAACGAAAAATATTTCTTGCGAAATTTTATTACAAACTCTTATGTGCGATATAATCAAAATGCTACTAATATTTCGATTATGATTAGGGTTAAGGTTAGGGTCAGAATATAAGTTATATTGGATGAGAAATATATGTAATATTTCGCAAGAAACATTTTTTATTATAACATAAAAGCAATTTCATAGGCATAATTTCGAGATACAGTTAAAGTTCGATAAAGCGAACTCGCATTAAAACGAAGAATTTTCAGAAACAACCTATTAACAAAGAGCTTGATAAAACGAAGAATAACGTTAAGCGAAGTTTATTTTTGAATAACCCGAGGCCTTCGGTTTATCGAACTTTAACTGTACAAGCTATTTTTGAATTTTTCCATCTTGCGATTTGATTGGTTTACCCTTAAAAATTGTGTTGACTGAACAAAAAATTCTGGGTATTATAAAAACGTGACTTAAATTAGGGGTACTTGCAGATCCATCAAAAATCCACGCTCACGTGATGAATTAGAATTTTCTTGTGGTAGAGGTCACGTGATTCAGCACTGTCCGGCCACTAAAGCCAGGTAGTGTCACGTGTTAATTGATCAATCCTAATGGCTGATATGAAATTTGATAATCAGTAACACTAGTGTTCCCTATAAGGGGGTTTCTTAAAGCAAGGCAAGCCGTTTAGCTGGCTTAGCCACAACACGCCACATCTGATCGGTAGCACATGATTGAAAAATT